GCTCAAGTGCCCCCCAGACCATCTCCCTTCCCTCACCTGCAGTGTCAGTCACCTGGAACTTGCTGGGGTCACCACCACTGTCACCTTTGGTGGTGGCCACGGCTGCCTTGTAGGCTTGGGTGATCTCATGGAAGAGTTTTGGGGTGAGATTCCTCTGGGGAAAGAAGAAAAGGGGGTGCTGAGGGGAAGCAAGGGATCTCCTGGAGCTCCTGACTGGGACAGGGGTACTGGAATTCACTGGGAATTCCATGGCAGAGAGCTCCATCCCCAAGCCTCAGGGCAGGGTTAACAAACTCAGAGCCCTCACCTCCCCTGAAACTGGCTTTTAATTGCTGAGGCTTCAGAAGGAATTAATCAGCTGCAAGCAACTTCCAGTTTGAGCTTCATTCCCCTCAGCTACTAAATATGGGACTAAGAAAGCTCCTGGAGCTGCCAGAGGGTGAAAAACCCAAATTGGATCATTCTGGCCTCTCCTGAGCCACATTTCTGCAGCTTCCCCCTCACATGGGATGGCAGCACTTGAATTCTGCAGCCCAAAGTCATGCTGAAGGCACAAGAGCTCTGGGGGCTTGGGACACAAATTTTGTGCCAGGTGAACAAATAAATAAATAAATTTTGTGCCAGATGAACAAATAAATAAATTTTCTGCCAAAAGAACAAATAAATAAATAAATTTTGTGCCAGGTGAACAAATAAATAAATAAATAGATTTTGTGCCAGGTGAACAAATAAATAAATGAATTTTGTGCCAGGTGAACAAATAAATAAATAAATAAATTTTGTGCCAGGTGAACAAATAAATAAATAAATAAATAAATTTTGAGGCAGATGAACAAATAAATTTTGTGCCAGATGAACAAATAAATCAATAAATTTTGTGCCAGGTGAACAAATAAATAAATCAATAAATTTTGTGCCAGGTGAACAAATAAATAAATAAATAAATTTTGTGCCAGATGAACAAATAAATCAATAAATTTTGTGCCAGATGAACAAATAAATCAATAAATTTTGTGCCAGGTGAACAAATAAATAAATAAATAAATTTTGTGCCAGGTGAACAAATAAATAAATAAATAAATTTTGAGGCAGATGAACAAATAAAAAAATAAATAGATTTTGAGGCAGATGAACAAATAAATTTTGTGCCAGATGAACAAATAAATAAATAAATAAATTTTGAGGCAGATGAAGAAATAAATAAATAAATTTTTGTGGCAGGTGAACAAATCCCAAGCTGGCCCTTTTACAGGCAGGAGGAACTCTCCAGTGCTGTGTGTTCCAACTCCCTGCTCACCTGGGCAGCTTTCTTCCACTCCTCCACCATCTTCAAGCTCACATGGATGAGGGAAACCTTCTTCCTTTTGACTTTTTCTTGTTCTTCCTCTTCATCATCTTCATCCTCATCACTGGCTTCCTAGAGAGACCAGCAGGAGGGACTGAGGAAAGGTTTGACAGCCCTGGCTGTTTCACTGAGCACTGCTCAGGAGGGAGGCAGGCAGGGCTGATTTACCAAAGCTGCTCCCAGGTTTGTGGCAGATGAACAAATCCCAAGTTGGCCCTTTTACAGGCAGGAGGAACTCTCCAGTGCTGTGTGTTCCAACTCCCTGCTCACCTGGGCAGCTTTCTTCCACTCCTCCACCATCTTCAAGCTCACATGGATGAGGGAAACCTTCTTCCTTTTGACTTTTTCTTGTTCTTCCTCTTCATCATCTTCATCCTCATCACTGGCTTCCTAGAGAGACCAGCAGGAGGGACTGAGGAAAGGTTTGACAGCCCTGGCTGTTTCACTGAGCACTGCTCAGGAGGGAGGCAGGCAGGGCTGATTTACCAAAGCTGCTCCCAGCACTGTGTGCAGAGCAGGGAAGGTTCACCCGGGATATTGGGAATAAACTCCCACTGTGAGGCTGGCACAGGGAAGCTGCTCCAGCCCTGGAGGTGCCCAAGGCCAGGCTGGACAGGGCTTGGGGCAGTGCCAGCTGCTGGGGGTGCAGCTGGATGAGTTTTAAGGCCCTTTCCAAGCCAAATCACCCAGGGCTGGCACTGGGACACAGAAGATTGAGGTGTCTGAGCCCAGCCAGGTACCTCGAGGGTGTCAGGGGGTCTGTGCAGAGCCTCCTCCTCCTCTGAGCTGTCTGAGGCATCAAAATCCAGCAGCTTGCGATCGTTCTCCTCCAGAAACTTGTAGAACTCGGGGTCCCTGTCCTTCAGCCTGGAGAGCTGATCTTTGTGCTCTGATGCCTTCCCCTTCTTCCTGCTGGGAGAGAATGAATCCTTCACTCACTGCTCAGAGCTCTGCCTCAGGCTGTGACAAAAACATTTCGTTAAGGGTTAAGAAATCTTGACAGCAAGACAGCAGATTGCACTGGGATAGATGAAAACACCTGGGAAAAGCATCACAAAAAACCTTCTCAGCTCCTCAGAGCTGCTCCAGGGACTGCACCGCCTCCCTGGCAATGCCAAATCTCCCTTTCCATGGAGAAATTCCTCGTGATGCCCACCCTGAGCCTGCCCTGCTGACACTGAGGCCGTTCCTCTCCTCCTGCCCCGTTCCCTGGGAGCACAGCCCCACCTGGGGCTGTCCCCTCCTCTCAGGGAGTTGTGGAAAGCAGGATAAGCTCCTTTTCTCCATGCTGAGCCCCCCCAGCCGCCCCTCACCTGCCCGGCCGTGCCTGCAGCCCCTGGGCCGCCTTTCCACCCGGCTGTCTCCGCCTCGCAGCGCCGTTAAGGGCCCGGCCGCCTTCCTCCTCCTCCTCCTCCTCCTCCCAGCCGCCGTCATGCGCCGAGTCCGAGCCGGCAGCGAGGAACTCGTCCAGGCTCAGCTCCGCCAGCTTCCTGAGGGGAAAAAGGAGCGTGAGAGGGGAAAAGGAGAGTGTGAGGGGAAAGGAGGGTGTGAGGGGAGAAAGGAGGGTGTGAGAGGGAAAGGAGTGAGTGAGGAGAGAAAGGAGTGTGTGAGGGGAAAAAGAGCGTGAGAGCGGGGAAAGGAAGGTGTGAGGGGGAAAGGAGGGTGTGAGGGGAAAAGAAGTGAGGGGAGAAAGGAGGGTGTGAGGGAGAAAGGAACGTGTGAGGGGGGAAAGGAGCGTGTGAGGGGAGAAAGGAGGGTGTGAGGGGAGAAAGGAGGGTGTGAGGGGGAAAAAAGTGTGTGAGAGGGAAAGGAGGGTGTGAGGGGAAAAAGAGCGTGAGAGCGGGGAAAGGAGCGTGTGAGAGTGGAAGGAGTGAGTGAGGGGGAAAGGAGGGTGTGAGGGGAAAAGAAGTGAGGGGAGAAAGGAGGGTGTGAGGGAGAAAGGAGCGTGTGAGGGGAAAAGGAGCGTGTGTGAGGGAAGAAACAAGCGAGAGAGCGGGGAAAGGAGCATGTGTGAGGGGGAGGCTCATCCCGGCGTGCCCGGGACCCCCCTGGATGCCCTCCGGGACCCTCCCGGACCTCCCCCGGTGCGGCGCTCACCTCCTCCCGGGGGCCGCCATGTTGCCTCCGCCACGCGGCCGCCGCTTCCGGTCCCGGCGTGTAGCGCGGCCGGGGCGGGGCAACCGTGTCACGCCTACAAATATGCAAATCAGTATGTTTTACTGTTTTGCCACGCCCCACAACACCACTGGCCCCGCCCCGCTGCGTTGGCCCCGCCCCTCCCGCTGGTCGCTCCATCCCGGACATTCCCGGGCGGGATCGGGGATGGCGCGGGCAGCGGGCTCGGGAATGGGATTGCCGCCCTTCTCCGCACTGCGGAGACCGAGCCTCGAGTGCCCTGACCGGTTCTGGGCCCTCAGATCGGGAGGGACATTGCAGTGTGGCCACTGGGAGGGTATTGGGGGGCTGGAGTGTGTCCAAGGAGGGGTATTGGGGTTCAGTGTGTCCACTGGAAGGGTATTGGGGGGCTGTGTGTCCACTGGGAGGGTGTTGGGGTGCTGTGTGTTGTCCACTGGAAGGGCATTGAAGGGCTGGAATGTGTCCGAGGAAGGGTATTGGGGGGGGCTGTGCGTCCACTGGAAGGGCATTGAAGGGCTGGAGTGTGTCCAGGGAGGGGTGTTGGGGTGCTGTGCGTCCACTGGGAGGGTATTGGGGGGCTGTGTGTTGTCCACTGGAAGAATATTGGGGTGCTGTATATCCACTGGAAGGGTATTGAAGGGCTGGAATGTGTCCAAGGAGGGGTATTGGGGTTCCGTGTGTCCACTGGGAGGGTATTGGGGTGCTGTGTGTCCACTGGGAGGGTGTTGGGGTTCCGTGTGTCCACTGGGAGGGCATTGAGGGGCTGGAGTGTGTCCACTGGGAGGGTGTTGGGGTGCTGTGTGCCCACTGGAAGGACACTGAGGGGCTGCAGTGTGTCCGAGGGAGGGGAATGGAGCTGGGGAAGGGTCTGCACCACACATCCTGTGAGCAGCGGCTGAAGGAGCTGAGCCTGGCCTGGAGGAGGCCGGGGGACACCTTGTCACCCTGCACACCAACCTGACAGCAGGCTGCAGCCAGGTATGGCCACTCTCTGTCCTGTAACAAGTGACAGGACACCAGGACAGAGTTTTAAGCTGCGCCAGGGCTGCTTTGAGGTGGGACACCAGGAGGAATCTCTCCGTGGAAAGGCTGACCAGGCCTTGGCAGGGCACCCATCCCTGCAGGTGCCCCAGGCGCTCCTGGCGGTGGCACTCTGGCTGGTGACAAGCTGCTGATCGGCCCCAGCTCGGCCTCCATCACCCCAAAACTCCTTCCCTGCCTAAATTATTTTGGGACACCCCTCCAGGCCACGCCCGCCAGCACTAGCCCCGCCCCCTCGCTAACCCCGCCCCTCGCCCTTTGTGCGGCATCGGGGGCGTGGCCTCGCCTCATCGCCCCGCCTTGTTCTGCCGGTTAGCCCCGCCCCCTCCGCTGGCCCCGCCCCCGTGCCGGTGCCGGTGCCGGGCCCGCAGCGGGGCCGGTGCCGCTCGGTTCGCTGCGCCGGGCCCGCGCACGGACACGCGGAGCTCGGGGTTATTCCGGGTGACGGAGGAAGCCGCAGCCGCGGGGCCGGCCCGGCTCCGCCGCGCACCTGCCCGCCCCCGGCCCGCCCCGAATCCCCGGCCGGGGCCGGCGGCGGCGGTGCGGGGGTAGCGGCGACCCGCAGCATCCCCCGGCTTGGGCCGTGGCCGCCCCGGAGCCGTGAGTACCGCCGGGGCACGGCCCTGCCGCCCGCACCTCCTGTGCTCTTCCTCTCCGGCTGCCTCTTCCTCTCCCTCTTCTTCCTCCTCTCTCTTCTTCCTCCTCTCTCTTCTTCCTCCTCTCTCTTCCTCCTCCTCTCTCTCCCGCTGTCCCCGCAGGGCCGGGGCGCTCAGACCCGCGGGAGGAGGGGGAGCGGGGGGGTAACGGCGTGGGGGCACACCGGAGGGGTCACCGGGGATGATGGGGGCACACCGGAGGAGCTGCCGCTCCATCCCTCCCGGCGCATCCCTCCTCGGAGAGCAAGTTTGTTTTTCGGGGTACCACGCAGCACGACCGGGGTGGGGGGACCAGCGGCGCCGCTTCCCGAGGTTTTGGCACAACCGGTGTGGTTCCCAAATACTTGCAGGGGTTTGGAACGACCCATGCCCTTCCCAGCCTCTGTGGCCGCTCTCTCTGCACCGCGGCATCGCCCCCGGGGCCGGCAGCATCCCTGTGCCCTCCTCCCCTGTCCTCTGCCGGCTCCTGGCCGGATCCCGCTGGAAAAGGGGAGAGCAGCAGCTCCGGGCAGAGCGGGGCTGGCCCGGCCCTGTCCCCTGCCCTCGGGGGCTCGGGGCTGGCAGCTGAAGGGCACCGGGAGAAGCGTTTTGCTGGCTTTTCCAAGCTTTTTGGTGGCCTCTGCAGTGGCTGCCAGGGCAGAGGGCTCTCCTTGAGCCACAGCATTGCTGCCGGAGCTGGAGCTGCTCCCGGCCAGGCTGGCAGCTGGGCTGGTTCTGCTGCCTGAGCAAACGCCTCCCTCTCCGGGGAACACAGCCCTGCACCTCGGCAGGAAGGAGAAGGTGGTTGTCCCTGGTTGTCCCTGGTTGTCCCTGGCTGTCCCTGGCTGTCCCTGGCTGTCCCTGGCTGTCCCTGGCTGTCCCTTCTGTGCCAGCCCGCAGGAGCAGTGGCCTTGCTTTGGTGGCTCTCTGTGCAGGATGCCAGCTCTGCTGTGACTCCCTGCTGTCCCACAGCATTATCCCGGGGGGCTCTGCATTGCTGGAGGTGATTCAGCAACACGTGGATGTTTCTGGGTGCCTTTAGCACCTTTAGCCTTTAGTTTGTTCCAGGTCTGGTGTTTTGGGGCTCACTGACCCCTCAGTGTCCAGTGGCCTTTTGGTTTTGATCCCTGCAGCCAAAGCAGAGCCCTCTCTGCAATCCCTTCCCCCTGCACCCCGAGTTTCTCTCCCGACCCGTGAACATCTGCTGGCAATCCTTTATTCAGCACAGCACTGAGTAAGACTCGGGGAGATGTTGGGTGTAGAGATCTGAGTTTCCTTCCTGAGCACTGAGTGATTAATGAATCACAGCAAAGAGCAGCTAATTCAGAGCACACCAGGAGCTGGCAGGCAGAACAGGCACCTGCTCTCTTGGCTTGGGAGCCCAGCATCCAAAGGGAGCTGCTCCCCAGCATCTCGGGGAGCTGGGATGGTCCCTGTGCCCGCTGCCAGCCGAGGGCAGCTCCGGGGGTGGCACTGGGACAGCTTTGTTCTGCCAGCACAGACAGCAGCCATCTGCCCCCGCTCCCTCGGCCAGCCTGGCTCTCTGGAGAGGCGTGGAAATCAGAGCAGGCGTGCTCCGAAGGCTGGAGATGTGCTGGGCAGCCTGCTCTGGGCCCCTGCTTTGCTGCATTTCAGCCTCAGCAGCTCCAGAGCTCGGGCAGCCCCGCTGGAGTCCTGGATCTGCCTGCAGAGCCTGGCCTTGGGAGGCCTGAGAGGCTCCATCTGCTCTGCAACCATCCCTAAAGGATGTGGCTCCTCAGGGACAGGAATTCGAGCTCCTCCAGCTGCAGTTGCCAAGGTCTGGGACCTGCTGGCCTTGGCAGGCCCCCGTTGTGCCAGTGAGCTCAAGGCCATGGTGTCACATGCTCCTCACAGCTCAGCGTTTGGGGATGTGGCCTGTGCTGCTGCTGGCCAGAAGATGGGAGGGAATCCTTTTGTTTCCTGCCTTGGAAAGACTTTCCCAGTGCTCCAAAGAAGCTCAGAGCTTGTTGAGAGCAGGAGGTGCAGAGCTGGGCTGGCAGAGAGGGGCTGGAGGGGGCTTTGGGAGCCATCCCTGACCTGTCATCCCTGTGGTGTGACAGGGCTGAGCCAGGCAGTGCCCACTGGTGACCCTGGTTTGGAGAGACAGCAGAATGGCTTCGTGTCCATCTGTGAAAGATCTCCCTGCCTGTTTGCAGCCAGCAGATCCGAGTGCTTCTTCCTGCTTTCCCTGCTGCTGCTGCCTCGTGTCACGGAGTTATCCTTCCCTTTAGAAGCCAAGTGGTGTCTCCTGCTGAGTCTCACCAAATTCCAGGGCACTGCTGAGCAGCGGTGACCTGCTCTGAGCTGTCCCTCTGTCACCTGGAGCCACCAGCAGCTGGCACAGTCCCTGCTGGGACCAAGGATGCTGCAGGTCTGGGAGGCAGGAGCGTGGCTGTGCCCAGCTCAGGCTGCCTGAGCGCTCTCCCCTCGTGTTCACCTGTCTGAAAAACGAGCTGGGGACAGAGATTCTGTCACAGGATGGGCAGTGCACCCGAGCTGGGCCTGGCCCTGCTGCCTGGGCAGGGCTCTGGCTGTGTGTGCCCAGGTTGGCACTGCCTGTGCCATGAGCCAGCACGGGATGTGACAGAGGCTCCTCTGCCGTGGCTGCTGGGGACACTGGGAAGGGGAATCGGGACATGACCCACATTTGCAGCTCCTCTCAGAGCCAGAGGGCTCGTTTTGCTCAGCTTGTGCTGTGCTTTGTGCTGGGCTCTGGGAGCTGCAGTCTAACCCCAGAGCAGCTGGGGACCTGCACGTTTTGCTGAGCATCTGAAGGCAAGAATCCATTTCCATTCCTTGCTCCTCCCTAACCCGGGAGTTCAGCAGCCCCAAACCTCCTCGAGTCCCGACCCTCACGACCAATTACTTGAAAATGACCCAAATATTGGCACAGATGCCTCAGAATCCCTCAAGCATGGAGCCTTGCTTGGAGCTGCAAAACAGGGGAGACAAAAGCTGAGTTTGGAGGTGGCTGAAGGAAGAGCTGCTGCCTGTGGGAGGTGAGGACAGGGCTGTGGGCACCGAGATGAGGATGATGAGGCTGCCCTTCATCCCTCTGGTACATGGGAATGTCCCAGGGCATTGCTCCTCTGCCTCGTGCTCCCTCCTCTCACTTTCTGAGGTGACTGAGAGCGGCTTGGAGCTTCCAAACAAAACTCCCCAGGGAATAACGAGGAGCTGGCCTTTAATTAGGAGAGATTGGTGTGTGCAGCAGGGCCACTGATGACAGCCCGGGGAGGGGCTGAGAGGCTGTGCCCAGGTCAGAGTGCTGAGAGCCCTTCTTGCCCGGAGCCAGCGCTGTCTCTGTGCCTGGAGCTGGCAGCGGAGTGCAGCTTTTCCCTGTCCTCCCCACCCCCTTGCCGAGGCTCCACATCCTCCCTGGCAGCTTGTCACTTCTCTGCAGATGTCTAGACAGGAGGATTCAGTGCGTGTCAGTTATGCCTAATTCATTAAAAATAAATAAAGAAAGGAAGAAGCCCCAGCCCTCCTGGGAGCTGGGGATTCTCAGTCCTGCAGACTCAGCGCTGGCTGGGCTGTGCTGCCCTGCCCTGCCTCGAGGCTCCCTGGCAGCAGATCCATTCCAGGCAGCTGCAGGAGCAGCAGGGGCAGAGGCAATGAGAGGAGAGGAGGTTTGGAGAGGGTTTTAAGGCCGGGCTGTGCTCCTTGTCCCCGCTGCTCACCCCATTTGTGTGTTCTCGTGTCCCCACCGAGGGGTTCCAGCTTCCCTGGCACTGCCAGCTCCCCAATTCCTGCCCTGAGGGCAGGGCTGCTTCCAGGAGGCACAGCTCCCTTGCTGCCACACTTCATCCAAAATCTCAGCCCTGACCTCTGCACAGCACTGCCAGCTCCCCAATTCCTGCCCCACACTGAGGGCAGGGCTGCTTCCAGGAGGCACAGCTCCCTTGCTGCCACACTTCATCCAAAATCTCAGCCCTGACCTCTGCACAGGTGCAGAACTCTGCCGTGGGGAGCGCTGAGGATCTGCAGCTCAGAGCATCCCCCTGCTGCCAGAGCAGCTCCCTCCCTCTGCTCCTTGCCAGCCAGGCTGAGTCTGCCAGGCTGAGCTCTGCTAGGCTGAGCTCTGCCAGGCTGAGCTCTCCTAGGCTGAGCTCTGCCAGGCTGAGCTCTCCCAGGCTGAGCTCTCCCAGGCTGAGCTCTCCCGGGCTGAGCTCTCCCAGGCTGAGCTCTCCCAGGCTGAGCTTTCCCAGGTTAGGCTTTGCCAGGCTGAGCTCTGCCAGGCTGAGCTCTCCCAGGCTGAGCTCTCCCGGGCTGAGCTCTCCCAGGCTGAGCTCTCCCGGGCTGAGCTCTCCCAGGCTGAGCTCTCCCGGGCTGAGCTCTCCCAGGCTGAGCTCTCCCGGGCTGAGCTCTCCCAGGCTGAGCTCACAGTGAAGCTGGTGTGAGCTGGAGTGTGTCAGTGCCTCTGGGAGCTCCCTGGGTGCAGGCTGAGAAAGGACTGAACCCCAGAGCGTTTTATTTTCTGTGTCAGCGGCGCTGATGTGACACATCCTGGTGGGGACAGCTGCCTGGATTTAGTGCCTGCTTTGCATCTGGCTCCTGGACAGGCACAGCTGAATGGTTCCCATCCTCTCTGCTTGTGTTCATCGTGGGGAAGGGAGCAGGAGAGGTGGGAATGCAATTTATTTTGTAATCGGCCCTCTGGAAGAAGGAATCATTTGGGATATCTGAGTTTGAGGGGTAAGGGCAGTGCAGATCTGCTGTAGCTGTGAAAACAACCCTGGCACTTGATTATTGATCAATTAAAAATGCTGCTCCACTGTGATCCTCTCCCTGCCCAGGGATCCAAGCTTTTGCTCCATCCCAGGGGCAGTTTGGCTGTGCCATTTTGGAGGGCACTGCCCTGGCTCCAGCCCTGGGAGGGCACCTGGCCCCACGGTGCCACCTTGCAGAGCTGTTTGTGCTGCTGTGACACGCTGAGCTGAGTGCCACTGAGGGCTTTGTGCCTTCTCCAGAGGCAGCACTTGTGTGGGAGCTGCAGAGCCGTGCACAAACAGCTGATTTTCCAGCAGGGACGCGGCACAAAGGGATGGGGACACATGGAGGGGATGGATTGGAGCCTGGCTGCACGTCAGGCCTGAGGGCATGGGGGCTGTGCCCTGATCCCCTGTCCCCACCATCTGAGCAGCTGCACAGGATGTGGCCCTGCTGCCTCCCAGCCCTGCTGCCAGACACAAAATCCCCATCCAGGCTGTCAACAAAAAGCTATTCTCCAGGGCCTTCCTGGGGAAAGGGCAGGCTCAGAACTTCTCCCTGGAGGATGCTCTGTTCCCTGTTTATTGCTCAGCACACTTCTTTTCACTCCCAGCAAAATATGGTTTTTTTTGTGTGGAGAGAACAGGCCTCCCTTTGGGCAGGGATCATTTGCATTAATTAACAGAGCTGTTATGCATGGCCACGCTCTGGCGCAGAGAAGCCAAACAAACCCTCCTTTTTTTGTTTTTTTGGGTTTTTTTTTTTCCTTTGCCACAACCTCAGAGTTATTCCAAGGGAGGCAGCACATCCGTCCCAGCCCGTGGGGACACGTGCACTGCTGCTGCTGCCCACAAAAGTGGGCTTGTGCTTCCTCACCCCTGTGCAGCTCTGGACACTGCTCCACTGTCTCCTGTGGGGCAGGCAGGGTTCCCCGTTACTGACAGCCCACAGACCCTCATTTCCTGGCAATGAGGTTTTAGCAGGGAAATGAGGAATGCTCGGTGCTGCCAGCGAGGTGGGGAGCTCGGCACAGGGAGCAGCACTGGGCTGCTCCTGCCCTTTTTCCACACTGCTTTTGTTCTGACCCGTTAAAGCACAGGAGATCCGATGGGAACGGGTTCTTGTGGGGTGGAGGGGACAGGGGGGACTGTGCCCACTGCAGGGCTCCAAGCAGCCCCATGCCAGGAGGGTGACACTGTCCCGTGGGGCTGGCAGGAGGGCGAGCAGCTCCTCGGGGAGCCTGGAGACAAAAAAATCCCCAAGCACAGCTGGCTCAGGCTGCCAGGACTGTGCCCTGCTTTGGGGACAGCCGTGGAGCCCAGTGGCAGTGCAGTGGCGGGGGTGGCACCTCCCTCTTGTCCTGCTGGGCCGTGTCACAGGCTGGGTGACACCGTGGTGGTGTCACAGCTCAGGGTGGGTGGCACGCAGCCCTGTGCCAGCCCTGGGGACCACAGGGAGAGGACACTGAGCTCTGCCTCCTGGCCATGAGGGTCACTGTGTCCCCAGGACAGTGTCACCCTTGTCACTCACCCAGGGCCACAGTGACTCGTGGCAGGGCTGGAAGTGAGCCCAGCGCTTCCAGCTCTTTGGAATTCCCCCCCAAAGCCTCCAGCAGCACCCCCAGCCTGCTGTGGCCTCTGGGTGCTGCCCCAGGGTGGCAAACCCTTCCTCACAAATCCCCAGGAGCAGCAATGCCACCTTTTCCCAGCTGTGTCCTGCCTGTCCCCTCTGAGCCCTGCCACTGCTGCAGATCTGGGAGCTCCTGTCCCCCCTCCCAGCCCCCTGGAGGGACGAGGAGCAGGGACATGACCGAAATACTGATGGGGACAAGTGTGCTCAGCAGGGATGACACAGAGAGAGCAGCCCAGGCAGAGCAGGAAAACCCTGGCTGGGGATGGGGAGAGAGGTGGGGAAGCTCTGTCTGCTCCCTGCCCTAAAGCAGCTCTGGGAAAGGACCTCTAGAGCTTAACTCTGCCCCTCTGGAGCTTAACCCTGCCCCTCTGGGATTTAACTCTGCCCCTCTGGAGTTTAACCCTGCCCCTCTGGAGTTTAACTCTGCCCCTCTGGAGTTTAACCCTGCCCCTCTGGAGTTTAAGTCTGCCCCTCTAGAGCCCAACCCTGCCCCTCTGGAGTTTAACTCTGCCTCTCTGGGGTTTAACTCTGCCCCTCTTGGGTTTAACTCTGCCCCTCTGGAGTTTAACCCTGCCCCTCTAGAGCCCAACCCTGCCCCTCTGGAGTTTAACCCTGCCCCTCTGGAGCCCAACCCTGCCCCTCTGGAATTCAGGGATGTGAATAACAAAACCCCTCCTTTCCATGGACATCTCAGCCAGCAGATGGGAATCAGGAGATGAATTAGGAGATGGGATGTCCCGGGGATGCTGCAGCTTCCCAAATGGGATGTGAGAGGACAGGACCACACTCCCGGGCTGTTCCCTGCTGCCGAGGGCACGGTGACATCCTGCTGTCCCTGCTGGAAGGCAGCACAGGCCCTGGGAGAGCAGGGACCTCGTAGCCAACAGCAAAGGGCATTGCAGGCTTCTCCCCGCTCAGGAAACATGTTTATTCATCTTTTTCATCCTCCCCCAGACTCTCGTAGCGCTACAACTGCTCCTTAAAAAGGCAGGAGCAGGCTGCCTCCGTGGCTGAGCAGGCACAGGATGCTGGCTTGCTATTTTTAGGCTCAGCAGGGCTGATGTGGAGGTGTGCAGGAGCGGGGGCTGAGGGGATTCTCTCGCCGCAGGGATGCAGCTCGGGTTGGGTTCAAGATGTTTTTTCCCTGCTGCTGCCTCCCCCTCCTTCCTCCTGCTGCTCAGTCATCCCCTCCTCGCCCCCCCAGCTCTGGGGGCTGCTGGCACAGAGGCAGCCAAAGGCCTTGTGGAGCAGCCTGGATGCAAAGAGCAGCAGGGGGAGGGAATCTCAGTGTGAATAAATGTTCCTTGATCAGGCAGGTTTTGTTTTCCTAGAAGCACAGAATGGTTTGGGTTGGAAGGGACTGTAAAAATCATCTGGTTTTGTGGGCAGGGACACCTTCTTCCACCATCCCAGGGTGCTCTGAGCTCCATCCAGCCCGGCCTGGGATCCAGGGGCAGCCACAGCTTCTCTGGAAAATCCATTGCACCTTCTTCCACCATCACAGGGTGCTCTGAGCTCCATCCAGCCTGGCCTGGGATCCAGGGGCCACAGCTTCTCTGGAAAATCCATTCCAGGGCCTCCCCACCCTCACAGGGAAGAATTCCTTCCCCATATTGAACCTGAATTTCCCCTCTTTGTTTGAACCAAGTGACATTTCCTCGGCAGGGCCTGGTCAGAGCTGTCAGGGTCGCTGTCAGCACAGGGTGCTTGAGCTGTGGTGGCTCCCACAGGGATCACCCAGGGCTAAAGCCTGCATTGATGCCTTAAGTTTGAGCTTTCACATTTTCCACATTCTGTACTGCATTGGGATATAACCCTGAGCTTCATATAAAGTGTTAGCAAGTTTTCCTCGCAGCTCAGTCACACAAAATAATCCTTTTTGAGCTCCAGAACCAAGGACACTGCTGCAGCTCCACGCCCAAAAAGTGTAAAACAACAGGGAATGGAGGAGAGCAAAGTGGGAGGGTGGGACTGCATCACCTGGAGCTGCAATTGGACAGTTAACCCAATATGGAAATGGACCAAAACTGATAAAAGTGAGAAAACTCATGACCCATTGTCCATCTTGGATCCACCTTGGATCCATCTTGGGTCTGGCTTGAGTCCATCTTGGATCCATCTTGAATCCATCTTGGGTCCACCTTGGGTCCATCTTGGGTCTGTCTTGGATCTATCTTGGGTCCATCTTGGGTCCATCCTGGGTCCATCTTGGATCCATCTTGGATCCATCTTGGGTCCATCTTGAATTCATCTTGGGTGCATCCTGGGTCCACCTTGGATCCATTTTGGGTCCATCCTGGGTCCACCTTGGATGTAGCCTCAGCCAGGCTCTAGCACTGCCCAAGGTGAATCCTCTGAAGGCCATTCACTAACTCCCCCGGTTATTCCTGTCCCCCTTGCCAGCCTGTGTTCCAGGTCACCTCTTTGAGGCTAACCCTCTGTTTCCCCCCTGGCAGAGGCGGTGGGAGGGGGCTCCCCCCTTCGCTGCCCGCCGCAGCCATGGAGGGGGGAGTGCAGCTGCTGAACCGGGACGGGCACAGCATCTCCCACAACTCCAAGCGCCACTACCACGACGCCTTCGTGTGCATGAACCGCATGAGGCAGCGGGGGCTGCTCTGCGACATCGTCCTGCACGTGGCCACCAAGGAGATCAAGGCCCACAAGGTGGTGCTGGCGTCGTGCAGCCCCTACTTCCACGCCATGTTCACAAGCAAGTAGAGTCCTCTCTTCCCCAGGGACAGGCTGGCAGCTCTCCCCTCTCCAGATCCCTTCCCTGGCAGCTCTCCCCTCTCCACATCCCTTCCCTGGCAGCTCTCCCCTCTCCAAGTCCCTTCCCTGCTCTGTCCCCCTCCCCGTTCTCACTGCTCTGCTCTTTCATGTGTCGTTTCTGTGAGTAAGAGCAGGAATATTCCTCATTTCACTGCCTTCCCTGAGTCCCTTTGCCCGTGTGCAGGATCCTGGTGTCCCCCTCCTGCACAGGAGGTGTCCCCCATCCTGCAGATGGCCCCCAGTCCCTAGAGCTGGGCAGGAAACCTTCCAGAAACAAACCACTTGTTCCATGCATGGTTTAATCCTCCATTTCCCTCCCTTCCCTGATTCCCTTTGCCCACAGCTCCCTGCACAGGACCCTGGTTCTTCTTCTCCTGTCCTGGCCCCCAATTCCTTCAGCCTCTCCTTGCTAAGAGCTGGGCAGAAAACCTCCCTGGGCTGTGGTGTGGAGGTGGATGCAGCTCATTCCATGCATGGTTAAATCCTACGCCCTTCCCTGATTCCTTTTGTCCTCAGCTCCCTGCATGGGATCCTGGTGTCCCTCCCTGCCTGGGATCCTGATGTCCCTCCTCCAGTCCTGGTCCCATTCCCTAGAGCTGGACAGAAAACCTCCCTGGGTTGGGATGCAGAGGTGGATGCAGCTCGTTCCACGCATCCTCTGGGGGGGGAAACAGCCCTGCTGGGGGGTTTTGTTCATTTTTGGTGTCCTTTGTCCCAGATGAGATGAGTGAGAGCCGCCAGACCCATGTGACACTGCATGACATCGACCCCCAGGCTCTGGAGCAGCTGGTGCAGTATGCCTACACAGCTGAGATCGTGGTGGGAGAGGGGAATGTGCAGGTAGGAGCTGTTCCCCACATCCCCCTTCTCCACAAAGCTGTTCTGTACCACATTTTCCTCCTGGGCACTCCTCTCTCCTCCTGCTCAGCACTGCCAGCTGCTCCTATGGTGGCAGCTGGGTCTGGCAGTGGTCAGGGAGTTGAGCTGCTTCCCTTCCCAGAGGTGGCTCCTCAAAGCTCTGTGCAGTTCCCAGCCCTGTTCCTGAGCACCTGCCGTTCTCCTGGCCCTGGGGGGTGTTACAGGTGTCCTTCCCAGCTGTTCTTCACCTTAGAAACCAGGAATGCTCTGTCCTTTCTCTGCTTCTGTGCCTGGAGGTGCTCACTAAACCTGCTCTGCTCTTGCCTCACAGTGGGACGAGGGTGAAAATCATTTCCTTGCCCTGGAAACTCCCTTTTCCCCCATTCTTTTCCACTGTGCCAGACCCTTCTTCCTGCTGCCAGCCTGCTTCAGCTCAATGGTGTGCGGGATGCTTGCTGCAAGTTCCTGCTCAGCCAGCTCGACCCCTCCAACTGTTTGGGCATCCGGGGCTTTGCTGACACCCACTCCTGCAGCGACCTCCTCAAGTCTGCCCACAAGTACGTCCTCCAGCACTTCGTGGAGGTGTCCAAGACAGAGGAGTTCATGCTGCTGCCCCTAAAACAGGTGAGGCCCCGCTGGCAGTGTGCAGGTCTGGGTGCAGCAAAGCTTGTCCTGCTCTGTCTGTCAGGGAAAAGCCCGAGGGATGTGCACTGAGGGGATGGGCTTTGGCAGGGGGTGTAGCCAGGTTCTGGGCTTTGGCCCCATTCTGTTCAGGCTGTGGGAAGAGCTCTGTCAGCAGGCTGAATGCCACGGGAAATAAGGATAGGAGGGTAGGACAGGGGGTCATTTTGGTCATTGGTGCTCGCCACGTGAGCTCTGAGCACACTGCCCTGGCTCTGGGAGCACAGCCCAGGGAATGGGTGCTGGCTGCCCTGGGCACGTGGCTGGGATGTTTAAATCAGCTCAGCTAATCTTTCTTGCTGGTCATCATGTGGTGCCAATGTGGCCCTGGCCCATCTCCCTGGGCAGGAACAATTCCCAGTCCTTGCTCTGCATCACCGACCTGTGTGGATCAGGATCAGACACCTCCCCTCACCCATCCCCGGGGCAGTGGGAGGGTGACAATGAGGGGAGGGTCCACATCTCCCCCTGCTGCAGCTCTGCAGCCGTTGGCAGGTGAAAGGACAGTTCTGGAGCAGCCAGGGCTGCTGGGTCTGTCCCAGGAAATATGGAAGGGACAAATGCCAGCGGAGTCATCTCCCTGCTGCCACTGCCAGTGACATCAGGGAGCATTGTCAGGCATTGCAGCAGCCTCAGCCACAGTGGGGGGAAAAGAAGAGCCAGGGAGGGTGGTCAGAGCTGTCCCCACAAAGCTGCACCTGCTGCTTTTGGAGCAGCTGGTTGCTGTTTGGAACCCCCAGCATGTCCAGGAGGCAGAGCTCTGCCCCTGGCACTGCTGCTCCACCGTGCTGGGAGCTGGGAATGTCTCCTTTCCTCCCAGTCCATTCCAAGCAGCACTGCCCTCCCCACCCCGCCCTGCAGGTGCTGGACCTCATTTCCAGCGACAGCCTCAACGTGCCCTCGGAGGAGGAGGTGTACAGGGCTGTGCTCAGCTGGGTCAAACACGACGTGGACAGCAGGAGACAGCACGTGCCCAGGGTGAGCCTGCTGGGAAGGGGCTGAGAGTGCTGGGAATGGGGAGGGAGTGCTGGGAAAGGGGGACAGTGGGCTGGGAAAGAGGTGAGAGTGCTGGGAAGGGGGCTGGTTGTGCCCACCATCTCTGAGTGCCTGGGCTGGGTGGGCACATGGCTGGAGGAAGCTGCAGGACAGGGCAGGAGCAGCAAGTCCTTGTCCTACCACTTCCAGTCCAGGCTGGCAGGGACCTTAAATCCCATCTTGTTCCACCCCCTGCCATGGGCAGGGACACCTTCCACTAACGCAGGCTGCTCCAACCTGGCCTTGAACACTTCCAGGGATGGCGCAGCCCCAGGGCAGCCTGTGCCATGCTCTGAGTAAAGAATTTCTCCCTAATCTCAACCTGTCCCCCTTCAGCTCCCCCTGTCCCCCTGCCCCGTCCCACGCCCGCGTCCCAAGCGTGCTCTGCTGTCCCCCCCAGCTCATGAAGTGCGTGCGGCTGCCTCTGCTGAGCCGGGATTTCCTCATGAGCAACGTGGACACGGAGCTGCTGGTGCGGCACCACTCGGAGTGCAAGGACCTGCTCATCGAGGCCCTCAAGTACCACCTGATGCCCGAGCAGAGAGGGGTGCTGGGCAACAGCCGGACGCGGCCGCGGCGCTGCGAGGGGGCCAGCACCGTGCTCTTCGCCGTGGGTAAGGCCCTGCCGCCCCCCCGCCCCGAATTCCTGCCCTATCCCGGGGGGGTTTGGGCCGTGTTTGCTCCCCTCGCCCTCCCCGAGCAGGTGGAGGGAGCCTGTTTGCCATCCACGGCGACTGCGAGGCCTACGACACGCGCACGGACCGCTGGCACATGGTGGCCTCCATGTCCACGCGCCGGGCCCGCGTGGGCGTCGCGGCCATTGGGAACAAGCTCTACGCCGTGGGAGGGTAAGGGGGCACGGGGAGGGGGGCACGGGGCTGATCCGGGAGCACGGATGGGCAGTGTGATCCCAGATTTCTGGGGGGCACAGGGCTGTGCTGGGAGCACGGATAGGCAGCATGATCCAGGATGTCTGGGGGGCACGGGAGAGTGGCACGGGGCTGATCCAGGAGCACGGATGGGCAGTGTGAGCCCAGATTTCTGGGGGGCATGGGGCTGTGCTGGGAGCACGGATGGGCAGCATGATCCAGGATGTCTGGGGGGCACGGGAGAGTGGCACGGGGCTGATCCAGGAGCACGGATGGGCAGTGTGACCTGGGATCTCTGGGGGGCACAGGGAGGGTGGCATGGGGCTGCTCTGGGAGCATGGATGGGCAGCATGACCTGGGATCTCTGGGGTGGCCGTGGAAAAGCCCCTTCCCTGCACTCAGGGATCTCTGTGCCCCTGGCATGGCTCCTGCCAGCTGCTGCTGTGCTCTCTGAGCCAGGCAGCTGAGATTCCTCCTGGCAACTGTGGGACAGCGGGGAGGAAAGAAGTGAGGTCCCCCCAAAAGGGTTTTCATGCCAGGAGCTGTGTGGTCAGAGCAGGGCTGCCCCCACAGGAGTGACCTGGCAGGGATGTGTGGGAAATGCCCCATGGGCATTCCCCATGGGCAATGCCCCCTCCTGAACTGGGGCATTGCCCTCCCCTTTCCCTTAGAATGCCAGACTGGTTTGGCTTGGAGCCTTAAAGCTCATCTCATCCCACCCATCACACCTTCCACCATCCCAGTTTGCTCCAAACCCCATCCAGCTTGGACACTTCCAGGGATCCAGGGGCTGCCACAGCTTCTCTGAGCAGCCTCTACTCCCCTTCTGTCCCTGCAGCTACGATGGGACCTCTGACCTGGCCACGGTGGAGTCCTACGACCCTGTCACCAATTCCTGGCAGCCCGAGGTGTCCATGGGCACCAGGAGGAGCTGCCTGGGTGTGGCAGCCCTCCATGGGCTCCTCTATGCTGCTGGGGGGTACGATGGGGCCTCGTGCCTCAACAGGTAGGGATTGCCTTGCTCCAGCCCTCCCTGCTCCTGCATGCACTGTCCTTGAGCTGGGAGCCCTGCTCCTGACCCTTCAGTAGATGTTTTGCAACTCAGCTCCTTCTTCCAGTGCGAAAAAATGCCCACTTTGTAGCCCTCTGCCCCAACAGAACCCAGCCTGGGTCAGCTCCTCCTTTTCCCCTGTCTATCCCCAACTCCCTTGGGAGCTGCCCCATGTCCAAGAGCTTTGACCTGGGCTTTTCCAGTGTCCCAACTTTTGTCCCTGTGTCCCTGCAGCGCAGAGAGGTACGACCCCCTGACGGGCACCTGGACCTCCATCGCTGCCATGAGCACCCGGAGACGCTACGTCCGCGTGGCCACGCTGGGTGGGTGCTGCCAGGGGGGCTGGGGGGTCCTGGGCAGGCTCTCCTGCACTGCTGAGGGTTCCTTTTGCTGCTCTGCTCCAGTTCCTGCCCCCTCTGCCACGTCCTGGGGTGCTCCCTGCCTCTGCCCTTCTCAGACTCCCTGACACCTGGGGTTCATCACGCTCTGGAGGTTCCACAAATTGTTCCCTTCTGCTTTGGAGCAGGGGGCTGCCTGTGGGGGATCCCCTGTCCCTGGAGAGAAAGGGGCAGCCTGATCAGTCCTTCACTGTGGAAGCAGGACAATCCTTTCAGCGATGATCCCAGCCCCACTCTCACCCCAGCAGGAGCTGGATCTCCCTGGGGATGCTTCCCACCTGGCCCAGTGTCCCCGTGCCTGTGCCCTGCCCTGCTCTCTGCTTTCAGCTCTTGCTGCTGACTCAGAACTCCCCTCCCCTCCATCCCCAGCTCCTTCTGAGCCTGCCACAGCCGATCCTGCTAAAAATCTCCAGCCTTTGCAGGAAAGTGCTAAAAATACCCCGGGGCTCCGGCAGGGAGCACTGTATGAGGAGGTCAAGGAGCAGCAGCAGCAGGAGCTCTCTGGGAGGCTTTGCAGAGGAGCTGCCTGATGAATATTTCACACCACTCCTGCTGGAAGGGCAGGGAGCCGGGCTGGCCATGCTGGGAGGAGCTGCCCGGGGCAGGGGAGGCTCAGCCTGGACTTGTGTGGGCACCTCCAGAGTGGCACCTGTGGTGAGGCTCAGCCTGGACCTGTGTGGGCACCTCCAGAGTGGCACCTGTGACGTTGTGAGTGGCTGTGCTGGGACAGGGATGTGTCTTTAGCTCATGCCTGTGCCTCTGTCTTTGCAGAAGGCAACCTCTATGCAGTTGGGGGCTACGACAGCTCGTCACACTTAGCCACGGTGGAGAAGTACGAGCCCCAGGTAAATGTGGGAGATTTGGGTGACTCTTGTGCTTCTCCCCTCTTCAGGAAGGCCTTACCCCACCGTGCATGGCTGTGAGACGGAGAGGGATCAGCAGGGACAGGGCATCCAGGGTGCAATCCTGAGCAGAGTGATCCCAGGCTGCTCTGTGAGAGCTCTCTGTGAGGTTTTGGCCACCAGAACAGCCTCTGGCCCTGCTGCCCGTGGTTCTGTGGGCAGCAGGGATCCTGTCCGTGCCCTGAGCTGTTCCCAGCTCCCAGTTGAGCTCCTGCTGGCTGCACACCCAGCGTGGTGAGCAGGGAGCGTGGCAGGCTGGGGACACGTGTTGTGCCCAGGGCCACAGCTCTGCTCCAGCAGGGTCGGTCACTGCAGGAAGATCAAAGAGAAAGTCCTGGAGGCTCTTCGTGAACTGCAAAGCCCCAGCTGCACTCACACAAATTGGAAATAGATACAGCTCAATCCCCGGGGCTGGGCTGGCATTCAGCTGGGGCACAACTGGTGGCCTGGCACGGGGATCTCTGTGCCCCTGGCATGGCTCCTGCCAGCTGCTGCTGTGCTCTCTGAGCCAGGCAGCTGAGATTCCTCCTGGCAACTGTGGGACAGCGGGGAGGAAAGAAGTGAGGTCCCCCCAAAAGGGTTTTCATGCCAGGAGCTGCGTGGCCAGAGCAGGACTGACCCCATAGAAGTGACCTGGCAGGGATGTGTGGGAAATGCCCCGTGGGGTGGCTGATGGGTTCCCTGTCCCCAGATCAACACCTGGAGCCCCATTGCCAACATGCTGAGCCGCCGGAGCAGCGCGGGCGTGGCCGTGCTCGAGGGGATGCTCTACGTGGCTGGTGGCAATGATGGCACCAGTTGCCTTAACTCCGTGGAGCGCTACAACCCCAAATCCAACACCTGGGAGAGCGTGGCCCCCATGAACATCCGCAGGTAAGGGGCTGTGCCCCTCTGGAGCCTCAGCTGCTGCAGCAGGAGCGGGGATCTCACCTTGTGGTGCCATAAAACACAGGCACATCCTGGGGTTTTAGGGTTTGTGGCTGGCTCAGCACGCTCGTGCTGTGCTGAGAGGGATTGGAGGGAGAGCCAGGAGGGCACAGCAGGGATGTTCTGCAGAGGGATTTATCCTCAGCAGTTTGCGTGGTCATAAAGAACCAGGGGTTGAGCTGGCTGAGCCCACGGAGGTGCTGCTGGGCTGTGGGAGGAATTAAGGCTTGCAAGTCCGAGCATTTTAGGCTCAGAGGGTTTGGTATTTGATGAGGTTTGGTATTTGATGAGGTTTGGACGAGAGTGTCAGAGTGAAGGGGGAGATGTGTGGCTCTGTGCTGTGCTCTGCCTGTTTGTGCCCCAGCGGTTCATTTCCACCGGGTGTTTGTGGGGTGCCAGAGCTCTGGGCAGGTCCCTGCCGTGCTGAGCTCCCCCCACACCTCCCAGCCTCACCCCTGCCCTCTCTGCTCCGTCCTTCCAGGAGCACCCACGACCTGGTGGCCATGGACGGGTGGCTTTACGCCGTGGGGGGCAACGACGGCAGCTCCAGCCTGAACTCCATCGAGAAGTACAACCCCCGCACCAACAAGTGGGTGGCCGCCTCCTGCATGTTCACCCGCCGCAGCAGCGTGGGGGTGGCCGTGCTGGAGCTCCTCAACTTCCCCCCGCCCTCCTCGCCCACCCTCTCGGTGTCCTCCACGAGCCTTTGACACCGAGCCCGGCCGTGCCTCGGCCCCGGGGGACAGCGGTGGCACCCGCTCGCTCTGAGCGGGGAGCACAAACGCCAGCCCAGCCCTGCTCTGGGGGGCTCTCCCTGCTCTGGGGACACCCACGGGGTCACCAGGGCCACCAAATGTGCTTCCAGGGCCGGCCCTTCCCTGGAGGGCGAGCAGAGGGGGCTCTCCCTCCGGCCAGACTCATCCAGCACCCCCCAAAAGCTCCTTTGGGCAAGGGGGAACCCGAACCATTGCTGCTTCTGGGATTGCCGTGCTCCAGCCGTGCCACCGGGCACCGCCAGCCCCGTGGTGGCCCCGGGGGACACGGCCGATGTGCAACCCCCCTCCTCTGAATGTCACTGTAGCCAAACTCAGCCCAAGCCTGTGTGCACTGCTCCGGACTCTGGGGCCGCTGCCCCGCTCCGAGGGTGTCTCTTTGATGCCTTAACCACAGCAAGAGAAGAAGCCCAGCCCAGGCACAGCCCTGCAGGATGGGGAGGGTCCTGACCCCTCCAGTGCTCCCCTGACCCTCTGGGATCCCAGCTGAGCGTGGCTCTGGCCAGGCAGGTGGCCGCAGGGACCTTGGTGGCATCGCTGCCATCGCTGGCCCAGGCTCCAGGACTGGGACTCTCTGGGAATGGCCTGGCCTGTTTGCTGTTCCCCTCTCTGCAAAGCAGATTCTGGGTTTGTGGAAAGGAATCAGTTCTTGGAAAAAGAACAGTCCAGCCTTCTGAACGAGAAGGATTGCCTGGCATTACTTTTTTGGGTATTAATTTTTTTATTTGCCTTTTTTTATTTGAACGCTAATATGACTTCATATCCCTTTATTTTTTACACTGCCCTGGTATTCCCCATCCCCTCTGCTCTCGAGGCAGCAGAAGGGATGCAGTTCCTTTTCTCATTTGTTGAGGAGATGATTCCTGTGCCCTGGAAGTTCTCTCTGGATGGGTGGGGTGTGTGCATGTGTGAGATGCCAAAAGCAGCACGGGAGGGACCATTTCCAATTAGCGACTCCCTGGCAATTAAGCAACCACTTTAATGAACTAAAGCTTGGATAAATTAGCACTGTTAGGCCTGTCCTAGAGCCAGGGCTCCCGTGCTGTGGTGTTTTCAGGGTGTGCTGTGTGTGTGAGCCATGAGCTGAGGCACAGGTCAGGTGCTCTCCACACCACAGAGGAACGACTCAACCACTGGTACCTCAATCGTGTTCAAATGTAGCATTGCAAATATGGTCCAACTGTTTGGAACTCGTTCCTTTCTCCTTTTTTCCCTCTTACTCCCCAGTTCTCAATCACAGAGCTCAGATTTCACTCGTGTGGTACTTGTGGGCCTGAATTTTCAAGTAGATTTCTGCTTCAATTTTCAAGAGATTTCTGCTTTTTAAACTCTTCTGAAAGATGAGTTTAAAATGAGACAGGGACTCCCCAGCTTCAGATCCTTTTCTTGGCAGTCTCATTTCCCCTGGACTGGAGCCTGCAAGTTTTCCAAGCTCACTGGCCTCCCTCACAAGCCCACTCACAGTGCCTCACGTTGTACACCTGGAATTCCCAGCAGCTTCTGGAAAGCAGGGCTGCTTCCCCCTCCAGCCTCTCCCCAAGGACAGTCTGAGCTTCTCAGGCTGAGGAGGCCTTTTTGGCTTTTGGAACAGGCTCCAAATCTTCTTTTTGTCCCCTTCTCCCTGCCCCAGCCTGTCACAGGCCAGCAGCTCTCCCTGTCCTGCAGAGGCCCCTGTGGGTGTCCAGGCTCTGCAGTTGTCTCCTGGTCCATGTGGGCTGCCCCAAGAAGGTCAGAGCAATCTGCTTTGTGCAAAAAAATGATGAAACCAGTGAAATCTGCTCTGTTTTGTGCATGTGCCTCTACCCAAGTGAGCTCTCAACCCTTTCCATCCCATTCCTGAAATCAACATCAGGATTTCACTCTCCTGCTGGGCTCACATCAAGGTGTCCCTGGCTCCAGGGCCCCCTTTGGAGGAGGAGCAGCCCAAAAGCCCCATGGAGAGGTGGAAGGGGCTGGTGCTGAGGAGCTCAGGAGGAGTCAGGAATGAAGGGAGAGTAGAACCCAGCCAGGAGCTGCAGTGCAGGAGCTGCTGAGGGAGAAACAGGGCTGGTTTCAAAATAGGAATGAGATGTGGCAGTGGCTCGGCCTCTGCTCCAGCTGGGGCTGCTGCAGAGTGGAGAGGGAGCTGTGCCTTGGGAGCAAAACCTGAGGGAAGTGAAAAATGCAGCAGCTGGGAGAATTTTGATGCCACGTGCCCTTGGCTTCCGTTGGGATCCTCAGCGGCCACACTGCAAATCCTGTGTGGTGCTGTCCTGCTTCCTGAGGAGCAGGGACAGGGCACAGTGACTCCTGTCCCCCCTGGCTGGGCCCTGAGCAATATCCCACTGAGCCTGACCCATGGGAACCCGGCGAGGAGGGAGCCTCCTGTCTCTGCTGCCCAAACTATGCAGGAAAAGGGCAAAACAATTCCCCAGCATCTTCTGGGGGTCCCGAGCCCCCCGACCCACACTGTGTGGACACGAGGTGTCAGCACCTGCCCTGGGAGATGCCAGGGCGGGATTGCTCCTGGTGCTGCACGTCCCCTGCCGAGGAGGAGGAGGAGGAGGAGAGCTCGGAGGGGACGCGTGTCTGTGTCTGTCTGTCTGTGCGTAGCAACCCTGTCTGAGGGGAGGAGAACAACTCTGTGTGGCTTCCCTGCCAGTTTTAGTCCGTGGTGTCTCACCCAAGATGTTCCTTGTCTGAATTCCCCAGCAGAGGAGCATCCCCAAGCCAGGGGGCTCCGGATTCTGGGGTTTTTCCCAGCAGGGCCAGGCAGGAGCCCCTGCCCTGATTTGGGGGCAGAGGCTCCCTTGGCCTCCCTGCTGGGCACACCTGGTCCAGATCCATGTCCAAGCGTTGTCACTTTGATTTCTCTGTAACTTATCCGACTTTATTTATGTGGAACTCTGTTTCTCTGAATTTTTTGCACTACATGGGACTGGGGAGGGGATACAAGCAATAGAAGCCAACGTGTACAATAAAGACATTTTCTTGAATATCGGATCCTGCCTCGTGCATCCTTCACTCTCCCTTCCCTTCCCTGGCTGGCTCCTGGGGCTGCTCCCTGCTTCCAGCCAGGGCAGGGATCCCAGGCAGAGGGTGCACTGCTCTGCATCTGCCTGAGCAGCCAGGGGAGGTTCAGGTTGTGTCAGGGGAGGGTTTGGGATGGAGATCAGGGAAAGGTTCTTCCCCAGAGTGTTGGGCACTGCCCAGGCTCCCGAGGGAAGGGGTCCCAGAGTTCCAGGGGCATTTGGGCAATGCTCTCAGGGTAGTGTTATTGGGGTGCCTGGGCAGGGCCAGGGGTTGGACTCTGATCTAGTGGATCCCTTGTGACTTGGGATGTGATTCTATGAGCTCTCATCTGCCTGGTTCCAGGCTTTGAGGCTCAGAACTCCCATCTGGAGCCCAGCTGGGACTGGCCCTGCTGGTGGGGGTGTTGGTAGAGGAAGCCAGAGGGGCCCAAACCACTTTGGAAGGCTCTGCTGTGGCACAGCTGAGCTAAAAGGAGCAGCTTTTTGCCCAATCCCAACCCCAGGCTCAGCTGAGGGTGTCTGGGGCCTGGGTGGGTGTGAAGGGCTTTGTATTCCCATTTCAGAGCTGCTGCTCCATTATGGGAATGCTGAGGCCATTTCAGAGCTGTTCCCCAGGATGGGAATGCTGAGGCCATCTCAGAGCTTTTCCCCAGGAGGAGAATGCTGAGGCCATCTCAGAGCTTTTCCCCAGGAGGAGAATGCTGAGGCCATCTCAGAGCTTTTCCCCAGGAGGAGAATGCTGAGGCCATCTCAGAGCTTTTCCCCAGGAGGAGAATGCTGAGGCCATCTCAGAGCTTTTCCCCAGGAGGAGAATGCTGAGGCCATCTCAGAGCTTTTCCCCAGGAGGAGAATGCTGAGGCCATCTCAGAGCTTTTCCCCAGGAGGAGAATGCTGAGGCCATCTCAGAGCTTTTCCCCAGGAGGAGAATGCTGAGGCCATCTCAGAGCTTTTCCCCAGGAGGAGAATGCTGAGGCCATCTCAGAGCTTTTCCCCAGGAGGAGAATGCTGAGGCCATCTCAGAGCTTTTCCCCAGGAGGAGAATGCTGAGGCCATCTCAGAGCTTTTCCCCAGGAGGAGAATGCTGAGGCCATCTCAGAGCTTTTCCCCAGGAGGAGAATGCTGAGGCCATCTCAGAGCTTTTCCCCAGGAGGAGAATGCTGAGGCCATCTCAGAGCTTTTCCCCAGGAGGAGAATGCTGAGGCCATCTCAGAGCTTTTCCCCAGGAGGAGAATGCTGAGGCCATCTCAGAGCTTTTCCCCAGGAGGAGAATGCTGAGGCCATCTCAGAGCTTTTCCCCAGGAGGAGAATGCTGAGGCCATCTCAGAGCTTTTCCCCAGGAGGAGAATGCTGAGGCCATCTCAGAGCTTTTCCCCAGGAGGAGAATGCTGAGGCCATCTCAGAGCTTTTCCCCAGGAGGAGAATGCTGAGGCCATCTCAGAGCTTTTCCCCAGGAGGAGAATGCTGAGGCCATCTCAGAGCTTTTCCCCAGGAGGAGAATGCTGAGGCCATCTCAGAGCTTTTCCCCAGGAGGAGAATGCTGAGGCCATCTCAGAGCTTTTCCCCAGGAGGAGAATGCTGAGGCCATCTCAGAGCTTTTCCCCAGGAGGAGAATGCTGAGGCCATTTCAGAGCTGCTGCCGAAGGAGGAGAATGCTGAGGCCATTTCAGAGCTGTTCCCCAGGAGGAGAATGCTGAGGCCATTTCAGGGCCTGCAGGAGCTGCTGGCACCAGCCCTGAGGCCTGAGGGGGAGCTGGAATGCCTGGCCCGGCTGCAGCCCCTCGTGTCCCCTTTCCTGCTGCTCCTGCTTTGGCTCCTATAAATAACTGAAAGCTCTGAAAGCCTTCCTGGAGTGCAGGGGGGCTGCTGCCCAACCATTCAGGCTCTCCTGGAAGCAGATCCAGGGGCTCTGGGAGAGCTTTGTGCCCTCACGCTGGTGACAGGCCTGTCCTCAGCCACTGGTGTAATGCCTTAAGTTTGAGCTTTCACATTTTCCACATTCTGTACTGCATTGGGATATAACCCTGAGCTTCATATAAAGTGTTAGCAAGTTTTCCTCG